GATGGAGCTGCTGCCAGTGTCATCGACATCCCACATGCGTGCTGAGTCCTGGCTGCTTCACTTCCAGTCCAGCTCCCTACTAATGGTTTAAGAAAACCAGCAAAAGAGAATCCAAGTGCTTGGGCCCTTGCCACCATGTGAGAGAACTGACTTCCGTTCCCTGCTCCTGACTTCAGTCGAGCTTAACCCTGGTCATTCCTGCCGCTGTTCTTCTTCATTCTCTCTGACTTTAAAGTAAATAAATATATCTTTTAAGAAGTAAGAGAAACAGAACAGTGTATTCTAAAATGTTGATAGTGTCTATATGCAGGTGGCGTGCAGATCAAAATTTCTTCTTTGAGATTTAAATATTTTTGAGCATGTGCTTATTCAAGAACACTTTTTTTCAGGAGGCATCAATAAAATGTGCCGATTTAACTTATTTAGTTCCTCTTAAAACTATACTTGTGAACCCAGATGACAACTTTGGGGACCTTAAACGGAGTTGATTTCCATTGACTGCTTCATATTCTTGCTAGTTACTACCACTATGGATAAGACAGCATATCAAAAGGGCAGATATGTACCTTTGGCAATAATAAAACCCAGTCCATCTCTTTGCCTGTCTACCCATCACCAACATATTCATTCATGCATCTGTCTGTCCATCCATTCTTTCCTCCCTGACAATACATCTGTTTATCTATACTTACATCAGTTTATGCATGTATTCTTTTGCCCATCCACCCATACATCGTTGCATTAATGCATCTATACTTTCATTCACCCATGTACCAGACCTTGCATCCATCTGTCAATGAATAGTAAGTATTTGCTCTGTTTTCTATGTGGTGGATACTGGCGACTCCATAATGAATGAGACTGGAAAGTTCATGTGTACAAAGATAGAATACAAAGTGAGGAAATAATTTGTGTGACCATATGTTGTGATTGAGGAATGGAAAATCATAGGGACTACTTTAGACCATGTCCAGAAGAAGATTCTCTGAGAAAATGCCTGTTGTGTTAAGAAGGCTTTAGCATGGAGATGCAAACAGCAAATGCAACAAATTCAAAGGACCCAGAGGGCTTTATGAATCTTACTGGAGCCAATAGGTCAGGAATAGAATGAGAAGGCAGAGAACACACAGTGTTGGGCTGGAACCCAAGGCTTCTGACTTACAGTGTACTTGGCAAGATGCCATGTGTTCAGCGTCTTTGGCAAGAGTGATAGTTGAACTGTGTGGATCCAATGAGAACTCAGAGCCATAGCAAGCAAATTCAGATTAAGTGAGGTTATATGAAATTCCTGTAAGCAGTCTTATTCTTAAGGCACATAAAGGATTACTTGTTAACTTTATGATCTGATTAGACTAATTGAAGTAATGATAGATTGTTATAAACTTTGGTCATAAAACTACCTTTATCAGCACTTAGACCCCAAATTTTTAACACATATACCTCAAATAGATACTAAATTTATGTGTATGTGTAGGCATATCCATCTATATCTGAATCGACATCCATCTTTATATATCCTGGCATAATCTGTATATATACATACACACACACATATACACACACATATCTATATATATATCTACATAGATATATAGATATATAGCCAATTGTACTTTCCAATTTACAAGATTATTATATAAAAGCCATGGAATTTGAATTAATCATTTTTGTTTTGTTTCTTGAATAATTTTGAGGTTTTTCATGAAAAAAATGTTGCAATGTTATCAGGAATGAACACAAAAAAGAATATGCACTAAAACTTGTTTCAAAGAAGTCTAAGCTAGAACAAATGGGTTTACCTCTTTTAAGAGCAAGAATATACCTAAGGAGGAGTATACTGCTAATAGGCCAATGAAAGTGGGGCAGAGTGACTCAGCCCATTCTACTTGTACTTTTGTCAGCAATCAACCTAAAAAGGGCTTTGGGAATTTAGAGGCCAAAGGCTAACAGAGGTTTTAAAGAAATCAGCCACTGCTTCTCTTGAATTCATGTCTGTTGTCCTAAATCACACACACATGAGATACAAAGACTTGTTTATGGGAATGATCAGCATCCATGATCCATTATTGGCATGAAACCATGAGAAGGGGCTTACAGCAAAAGGAGGTTATGGGGCAGATATTCTCTGTTTTTGAAAGAGGTAATTATGGATAATTTAGAAAATTAAATTGACTTATCTCTGGAAAAATTCTGGAAAGCTTACTACTCAGATGCTTTGGTAGCTTTTAGAAATGAAGTCAATTTGGGGGGGAAAGTGGTGGTAAAATAAGCTTCCTTCCTTTATAATAGCTTATATGGATTGATGATGCAAATATTGGAGGTGATTGCATTCATCTCCAGTAGCTTTAAAATGAAAGAGAGGAGCTCCTTGGGAAGGGAACAGCTTATTTCAGCTTACAGATTGGAGGCCAACGTTGAGGATATGGTGCTTCTCAAGCCTGCTGACTGTGGATGTCGGTCAGCAGGTACAGAGACATGGTCACGTAGTGATCCAGGAGAGAGAGAGAAAACAGACCAAATGTGAACTCCTCTTGTGAGAGCCCTCCTGTGTGTGCTCTCCGCGGCTTAGTCATCTTCCACTGTCCCCATCACGTAACCCACACAGTTAGACCAAGTCTCTACCCTTTATTCACAAATCATTAAGACATCATAGTTTAATGAGAGGTTCAGCACTGCCAAGAGTTCTGAGGAGACAAGACTTATTGTGACCAAAGACCTTCAAACTACCCAAATAGCCTTTCCAAATGAAGTAACAAGACATTTTTTTAAAGTTGCTTCCGTAAAGCCCAAAATGGCCTGAAAGAAGCCTCAAATTTCTTTGAAGTCAGGTGTTTTAAAAGTTCATGTGAATTTCAAATTCTATCCTACCATATTTCCATATTTATTTAAATATCACATTACATTTTAATTTAAAAGTTAAATTACTTTGCTTTTTCCTTTCTGAATCTTGGAGGATGACTGACACTCCAAGAGCAAATTCTGTATTTATCCCGTGGCTTTGTCTAACCCGTGGATGATGCTCAGCTAAATGGTTTATTGCTGGATTATAGGCTTCAGATGTGAAATGTATTTGTGTAATGGGTCCAAATCAGTGAGATGAAATATAACAATAATGAATGTAAATTCCTGTATTTACATTTCTGCAATAATACCATCAAGAACAGTACCACCAAAAGCTGTAACAAGAGCTGCTTTTATAACACGGTAACTGTGCTTCTGTGCTAATCATTTTATAAGCTTCATTCTGCACAATGTTCTCAATACATCTACAGAATAGACACTGGATTAATAGTAACTCTGCCAACATGGAAAAACAAAGCTTACAAATGACTATCTCCAAGTCATATAGATGGCAAATACTTTGGTGGGATCCAAATCTACCTGATCTTTTTCCAAGTTGAGCATTTGCATGTTAATCCTTCTTGCAAAATTAACTGGACAAATATGGTTTGTTGAAATCCTAAGGCAATGACAGCTCTAATGATTACAGTTTGTTACCATCTTCTTGTAATTATGGAGGGTCACAAATGAATACAGTGGTGTCACAGGAAGGGGTTTCATATGAAAATAAACCAAGGCCTCAGTGATAAGCTCAGACTGTCTGTGATCATTTCTGGGTGGTATGATGTTAAAATATTGGCCAACTCTGATAGGTTCAGAGGACAGAGGATAGGAAGTCACCTCTTTGGTAAATGTAAAACAAAATATGTTAGCTTGGAGTAGAGAAGATTAAGTGGTGAAGTGTGACAGTTATCCTGCTCATTATTTCTAGCAAATTGTGTGAGAAACCATTTTGACATTGATTTGATAAAAGATGTTGCGGATCGATGTGATTTATTATTTCTCAGGAGGTGACCCTTTGCCCCTTTCTCCATACTTCCTTGTGTTCTCATGGGATCTGCCAGCTTTTTGGCTAGTGTTCGATCAGCATCTGAAAACCCAAGAACACCGCTCCAGGAAACAGGACCGCTAGGTTCTGACGTTCAAGCTGTCATGCGCTTGTGTTTGACTCTATGCAAATCTCCTGATCTTTTGGGGTCCTGTTTTTTATACTGCTACCTAATTTACAAACTGAAATGAGATCATACATATGAAATTGTTGAAAAATATAAAACATCATGCATTATTATCTCTAATGGTCTTTGAGTTAGTGGCAACAATGCCTAAAGCCAAGATTATTCTTGCATAACTATCACACCTGTTGGGGATGAATCCCTTCCCTGTCTGTGTTCTCATTTCTTCCAGACCATCTCTTTTAGACTTTCTATAATGCTAAATTGCTGTTTTTCATTTTAAATCCAGTCTGACTTCTCTCCTTAAAGCAAGAGAACTTTAAAAGTGAGTGGCTGGTAGTATAACTGGCACATATATCGAATCTCCTTAGTCTGGGCTGTTAAGTAAGTTTAATTAATTTACTAAGTTAATGTTCCACTGCTAGCAACAGAGCCTCATTGCCATCAGCTGGGGAGAGGGAATTGAAAGCCTAAATGAGCTCATTTTTTCACAGTTGGAATTAGGGACCAGTTAGCCAGTTGTGTGGGTTTTCCAATTTCTCCATCTGCCCTAGGGGGATTCAGGCAATTCTCTCCCCCAACACTAAGTGTGAGTAAGAGCAAGAAGGAGGAAGGGGAAAGGAAAACAAAAAACAAGAACTCTCCCCAACATTTGCTTCCATTTTTGAAACTAGAAGTATTGTCTGCACGTTTTTTGTTCAGTTGGGCTTGGAAACGTTCCTGCTAATGTTACTAATAGATTTGGAAGAGAGAAAGGCCTCAGTGAAAGATATTTACAACGTGCATTTTCATTGCAGAGTGTGCAGATAAAGGAAAAACAAATAAACAATAAAAGAATGGAAACAGAATTACAGAAATTTGCAAAATTTGACAAATGGTGGCCTGTAGTTGCCACAAGCTAATGGCTTGCAATGATTAATAAGAGTAAAAATAATTGCATTTCATTAAGATTGATGACACCCCATTTAACCTCCCCTTTCGTTTCAGCCCTAAAGTGGAAAGAGATGAAGTTCTCATCTATAATAGCTCCTGTAACATTACCATGGAAACTGAGGCAGAGATGGAGTGTGAGACGCCTAATCAGCCAATTACCGCCAAGATTACTGAGATACGGAAAAGCTGGGGCCAGAACACTCAGGTATAATCAAATCTTTTTTACAGACTGATTCAAACAGCTCAAATTAAATTTGTAATATTGTGTACATTAAAAAAACAATTTAGTCCAAATGGCAGCGATATATAATATTAAATGCTCTCCAACTTCGAGGAGCTGGTCTAATGCACAACATCTGAATTCATAGTTAACTATGGTTAATCATATATTTTCTCAAAAATAAATGAGGGCTGCCTGGGCTCTCTTAAAGCAAATTCTGAGTAGATAATCTCTTCAGCGTTTTGTCCTGATTTCCGTGTGTATATTTGAAAGGGGCTCTTTGCGGTTTATTCTTCGTGAATTAATGGCTTACAATTGAAGCAGGCCCTTTTGGAAGGCTTCCAAATCACTCTGCCATCCTCAGCTTGGTGGGATGGCAATGTCTGCTGGTCCCACCTGCTCATCTCTGTTCCACAGGCTAACAGATGAAACGTGTATTTCTGTGGGAATTCTGTGGAAATTAGAAAAGACAGGATTGCAGTTGTCACTGATTTAGCCTGTACCTTTATCCACTTTGAGATCATCCAAACCCCTCCCTGCACTTGGCTCTTGTAAGAATGTGTTCCTGACTCCCCAGTGAGAGTGTCTACAGCCTCCCCAGGGAATTTGTGAGAATTGAAATCAGAGGCTGAGAGCTCTTTGGAAATGTATCAGATAATCGCTTATAACCCCCCAGGCTTCTCACTGCACACGGCTAGAAATAATATTTATTGAGCACCTACTCCCTTAGGTGCCTTTCTATTTATGAAAGGAACTCTCCGATTTACCTTTTTTTTTTTTTTGGTCTTATTTGGAACAAACATTTATTAAGAGCCTATTATGTGCCAGACATGAGTCTGGGTTCTTTTGTGAATGCCACTTCTTCAGTCAAACTGTACTTTCAGTCCAAAACTACTTTGTGGGTTTGTAAAGCATGCTTCTATAACTTTAGTGTCAGCTGAAGCTTCAGCCAACGGCAAACAGCTTGTTCCCTCTCCCAGCATCATTTTCACATTGCCCTGTGCTCTCCCTCTCCATTCTGTCACTTCTAAGGCTTTTGACTCCTTCTTCTCCACTTTCAGCACCCCTACCCTCTGCCATTTTACTGCCGCCAACCAAAAAGAGATCTTTCATGCTCTGGTTCACTGCACAAATTGCTGTAAAGGATGGGGCTGGGCAGGCCAAAGTCAAGAACCTGTAATTCCATAGTTATCTTGTTATCTTTCATATGGGCATCAGTTGCCTGAGCACATGGGCCATCTTCTTCCTTTCCAAGCACATTAGCAGGTAGCTGGATGGGGATTGGAGCATCTAGAAGGCAGCCTGGCACCCATATGAGACAACAGTGTCAGTGGCTCAGCTCATTACGCTACAGTAATGGTTCTACCATGATCCTCTTCTCTTTCAAACACAATCTCTGCTAAAATGTTACTTTGTCATGGACTTCACCCTTACCACTCTAAATTGTAGTCTACCATTCTCAGATCATCTATATCATACTTACAATCTATATTGTGTGATTCTGTTTACCATTGTCTTTTGCAACTGCTAATACAGTACCAAAGGTGCTAACTCGATATTTTTATTACTTAGTGTTGGACTTTTCTGCTAGAATATGGTCTCCAAGAAGTTAGTAAGATTGGCTGCTTTATTCATGGATGTGTACGAAGCACCTAGACCCTAACCTGAATCATGCTGAGAAACAAGACAAAAGCATAAATGAAGTAAAAATAAAGCCTCATCCAGTGTTGCTTCTCCAGTCCCATACAGCTGAATATTACATCTGAAAGGAAATGTATACATGCATACATAGCTTTATGTTCACATGGATGTGCCCATTTACACACAAGGGTATTATTTCATTAATAATGTTCTATAGCTTGCATTTTAAAATTAGAAATCTTTCTGTAAGTTTCTTGAAAAGAGAGTCTTTGTTTTGCTTTTTTTTAAAATCTATATATACTAGACATATAGTGAGGCATAGCAAAAATATTGAATAGATGAATTACTTTATAAATAATTAATACAATGTGTTATCTTTAATTTTCACCTATGGTAAGTTTTCATTTAGAAGACATGATTATATATACTGTATATAAGATATTTGAAGATATTTTGTCTCTATGACACTAAGATACATTGAAAAGGTATTTTAATATGAAAATGCATAAGAGTGCTTGAAGAGAAAATTAGCTAGCTAGAGAATTTTAAGTATTTCTGAACTGAGACAGCTATTTGGGTTGGATAACTAGAGAATAAACAGAATCCAAATAAAATGAGAGAACTGTAAGGAACATTGCTATAGCTTTCAGTGGAGCTCAGAAGAAATTTCCAAGAGTTAGGATAGAACAAGCATCAGGGAAACTAATGAGAGCTGCTATCTTGACATGGCTTCTCCTTCTCTCATTTCCTTCCCTTTTTCTGTTCCTGCATATATGGAGTGTTTGGATGTCTGGCCATTTAGATACAGTCTTAATAGGAGTTCACAGAGAGTGGCTGTTTGTCTAGGGAAAGGTGATAGAGTTGGGCCATTGTGAACATTAGGGTCATTGTTAAACTGGGCCAGACTCGAACTGTAACTCCATGACAGACTCAAAGAAATGAGCAAGGGGCAGTGACATTTAAGCTTGCTCCTCATTTTTCCCCTCTCTCCCAATTCTTCTATGGTCCCTCCTTTTTTTTCATATGTCTGGCCCAGCAATTTAAGTTGAACTCATTTAAGAGGGTTTTCTGAACATCTCCAGTAATTTCAATGTGAAAAAGCATCAGACTATGTGCACTAAACTTCTTTGGGTTATGATTTTGAACCTAGACTCTTTAATGCAGTCAGATGCTACTTCTAATAAGAATAAAACAGACATGCAAGCTATGCAAAATTCAGGAATTTGTCACCATTGTGCCCTCTCTGAAAAATGATGTGTTTTGGCAAACTGTAAAATTAATCCAAGAAAGAAGATGATATGGGATACAGAAAATATTGAGGAACAAAAGAACTCTGCAAACATCAAGAACAAAATAAAATTTGTCAATAATGTGGACAAGAAGCTTAATGTAGTCATTGAGAATGAATTCTTACCTACAGAAGAAACCTTCTTTGTCAAGTAAACATACTACAAGGAAACAAGAAACAGAAGCATAAACTCTTACATTGAGGAGATATTTGTAACATAAACTGTACTATATACAGATGGAAACTAAATAGGAGAATGGCAAATGACTTAGCATGCTAAAGATTTTTGAAGAAACTGTAAAAACAGTGTTGTAGCAAAGATCACTAAGGAAATGGAAACTATTCTTTGAAAGAATTAATGGGAACTGCAGAACTGAAAGCTTAATATTCTCAATGAAAATGTTACTGTATAGGCTTAACATTGGGTGGGACCTTCTAGAAGATCAGAGTCGTGGGAAAGACAACCAAAACTACTTAAACTGAAAAACAGAAAGAAGGAACAGGGAAAAGTGAGAAACAACGATCTCTGGGACAATGTCAAATAGTTTAATACTTGAGTAATTGGAGTTGCTAACAAAAGAGGCAGGAGGAGAGAAAAATATTCAAAAAATTAATAGTAGATTCAGTAAGTCTAATGAAAGTTATGGGTCACAAACAAGGGAAACTTAAACACAATCAGAAGAAACAAAGCATTGGTGTCCCAATAGTATTAAGATGTCAGTTTTCCACACTAAAATAGTATAATTTCAATAACATATCTCAATAGTTGTTCTTGTTTGGCAGATGTTTAGGCTCACTTCAAAAAAATCAAATGTAAATGAAATGATGTATGAGAGTCAAAACTACCTTGAAAATGAACAAAATTGAAGAAAGTATATGCTCTAATTTTAAGTCTTTGCTGCTAAATTATTGCAGTCAATTAAGTTCTTGGCAAAATCTCGTGTAAAAAGAGTTCTTCTGATTGTTGTGGAGTGAAAGAGACCTCACCCTGGACATAAGTGTAGGATGTTAAGTGGAGTCTTTATTGGTGAAGCTTGGCAACAGCAGCTCCTACTACATCCCAGGAAATACTGCACCAGGCTGCCCAAGTCAGGGGCTTTTAACATCTCTTTCAATCAGATTGAGAGATGTACAGTATAAAGAAAGTTTACATGTGTTCAGTTAACTGAGTGTCAGGAGGCAGCAAAGGAGCTGCCAGGAGCCCCAAGTTTCCCTGCAGTTAATTAATGTAAAGTAGAACAGGAGGAGGCAGGAGTGCTAGGCCCTTCCAGACCAATTTCTATGCTGCCAATTAACTTGGATGAGGCGGGAAAGGCTGGGCTCACACATGGAGCCTCCAGAGCAGGTTTTACACATTCAATTAAATTGAATGGTGAGATGAGGTAGGAAGGGCAGGGCATAGAACTTGCGTTTCCATGCTATAAGCTCTGTCAATTAACGCAGCAAGCAGGTGCTATCAACTGGCTGCACACCATTACACTGATAAACAGTGTATTTGAAAATTCTTTCCCAGAATTTCAGACAAGGAAGATTTTAAAGTTACATGTGTCAAGAGATACCAAAAAGTAAAGTGATGGGAAAGCCCTTAATGCCTGTTCTTGGTATCATTAATGCTACAGATTATATGTGTGCGTTACATGTATTTTTATTAATGCTATGGTCTTGTGTGTTGCTTGACAAGACACATACCCCCTACATATCTCTCATACTATTTATTCCTCTAGTGTCTACCAAATGTCTTAGACAATTGTAACATTTGGCTGAGTAAATTAATACCATTCTTTTCTAAAATATCCATATATTTAACTTCATTTGGGCCATTCAATGTATATGTCCATAAAAAAGATTTTTCTTTCTTTGAGACTGAAGGATATTTTTCTCTTAAGAAATACCATAGACATTTTATCATACTTCTTTAATGGGATTTATCTTTTTATTCCTTTCAATAAGGCTTGCTTGTAATTGTATTTCAACACCTATCTGGATGCTAAACTCTGTTGGATTCCTTTTTGATGAGCAGATGGATTTTAGTATGTATTTATGCTGATTTGATTTC